TCTTACATCTCCCTGGTATGTCTCCGTGGCCTAATGGGTATTATACTCGCTTTGATAGCGAGAGTTTGCAGGTTCAAATTCCGCCAGAGACACTTTTTCAACTGAAATAAAGGAACTTTTCGTTGATGAGCTATACTAGATACGATTATTACATGTTCCTATTCGAGCACTGTTAGTGTTATTTATATATTTGTATACCGTATATACATATGTATATAGGCCTATAGATATAGGATATCGAAGTATGTTTTATATTACAATTTTTTATTTATTTAAAAACATCTATAGGCAGGATGGATATAGGATATCGAAGTATGTTTTATATTACAATTATAATAATAAATAGACATCACGTCAATAATATTTATAAATAATATTATAAAATTCAATTGATGTAAATTGTATCAATTGTAACAATGATTTTAGTGATTCACATTTTTAACGATTTTCTGGTAGCTTTCTAAGTTTTTGTTTTTTATTTTTGCGCAATCGTGCGGTTAATTGTTCTACTGGTCCCAAGTGGAAATAAGGTAATTTTTCTTGGTATTCCTTGTAATCAAGGTATGTTCGATCCATTGCGCAATTTCTAAAGGACTATTGTATGTATTTTTTAATCGAAATGTATGTATGTTTTTGTAAAAATGTATGACCTCGTTTACTAAATTAAGAAGCTCGAAACTCAAAATTTACCTGAAAACATTTTATACTATAGCCTATGATGATATAGCAGGCCTATAAACATTACAGAAACTATATACAGAGAATATTCATTTGGGAAGTATTGAACCGTTCCCCTAAGCTCCAAATTAGATATTATTTAAGTCCCTAAAAGGGACAGAATAAACATAGCTTATAACGTAATTTTTTTTTTGTGACGCACGCGCACAATCCTGGCTATGTTTTCATTTAAATAATTGTTAAATTTCATTGACACTTTTGAGAGGCACATTGTAGCATTTTAAAATAGTTACGGTTACTTTATTAAGGTACTTGCCCTGGATTCAATCCCAGTGCGTTAGGTTCATTCCTAAGCATACGGTGACGTCATTAATAATACATGTGCAGTTTATAATGTGCGCTCTCTTCTTCATATCACACGGCGGCTTTAGGAGTCTGTAGGGTCAATGCCTATCTTTAGCAAAATTCGGTGTTGAATGTAAATGAAAATAAAAAATATATAAGGCTGTTTGACAGAACAGGAAATTTCGTACTAAGCATGTATGCTAAATTTGTTGAAATAAAAGTTCATAGATAGGACTGATCGAATTATAACTCTACCGCGAATCTATATTACAAAATTTACCGTATTCTGTAAAATCCTTAATATTCTTTCAAAATAATTTGAACGCGCCATTATGCTTCAACACATTGAAAAAACTATGAAAACGCGTCAACAAATTGACAAAATGTACGGCAACAGCTGCTATTAAAAGTATCATTTTTTACAATAATTGTTGTTTTGAAAGCAGCTGATATATGAATAGATAGGAACATGATCTGAGAAGGGGTGAGCTAAGGATGTATGGCACGGGATGTTTTGAAGATACACCTGTCTGACAGGTACAGACTACAGGTGACAATAATGATAATATAATCGTGAAAGTTGACACCAAATGATGCATCATTTGGAACACAGGTTATAAGGACACACGATTAGTTCTTCCAATTATATTATACTTAATCATCATTTTTTGAAACTTCACCGGCTAAATGAGAATACATTTGTCACAGTCCTCCGACTGTTTCACACGCACCACATATCCCGACTCAGAAGCGTGTTTTGGTTTAACAATTCGTTTATTAAAATGAAAACAACGTCGAACAAGGTTTAGGCTTATGTCAACAATATTCTTCTAGGTGACGTCCGTCAGTGTTCCCCCCCCCCCAGCCTCCGATCACGGGGTTCAACATGTCTAAAAGGGAGTCAAACAAAATGGCCAGAGTAAAACCCCTGTTAGAGGCAAGGGCATGGGGTTTTACAGTACAGAATTGTAAAAATCGTGCTTTTTGATCACAATACGAACTAAAACCAGAGGGTTCCATGCTTTGATAAAGGGAATTTCCTCTGACCCAACTGGAGCAGCCACCAGTGTCAAGTCCTTTAAAAACTAAACTGTTGGCCTAAGATCAATCAATTTTTTTCCCCATCAGAGATGATCAGCCAATAATGCTAAATAGAAAACAAAACGAGGATAAGTGAATACGTTTAAACTATAAAAGGAGGTCAGTGTTATGTTTTTGCTCCTAAATATTCTATAGAGCTTACGTATTGAGTATCAGTTGTCAATCATTTTCACGTTGTTCCAAGAACGAAAATGAACCTCGAATACAAAATAGATATTTTTTAAATGTAGGGAATACATTCGGTACAAAACTGCTACGATAAAAACCATTGTTCGGATATACGAGAAGCTTAAGTATAATTGATATGGGTTATGACTGTGAATACAAATCAATGCTTTTAGATTTTTAAATGGTAAATGGCTTGCTTGTAAGCAGTTTGAACTCTATCTCGAGGTAACATCTTAAGTAAATCATTTTCAACGAACTCTGAAAAGCTGCTATCTTTTTGACATTATCATAATTATAATTCGTATTAGAATTATGTTATGGCCGTTATAAAGTGCTTTGAAGGTGTAATGATGTTTAATAAAGTGACATAAAACGCTAAAGATTCCTCGATAGTGGCTACTGGGATTATGTCATTTACGATAATGTTTAGTGTGTTTGATGAAAGTCTACTTTCTTGATGGCGTTTTAGAACCAACAAAAAGACACTAATAATAATCCTGTTATTGTAGAAACATTATAGACCTAGATAACGGAAATATATTAATATTATATAGGTCTATATTCTTCCTTTCTGAACCGTACAAGGTTATGGGCCCATCTACTCAAATGTTGGCAAAAATGGCCCCGGAAAAATGTCCCCTGAAAAAAAAGACCCCGGAAAAAATGGCCCTGGAAAAAATTGAAAAATTACTATAATACGCTTTAAGTTATATATTTATTTAATTACAGGTAACAGTTTGAGAACACAGTAGTGTAAATGATTATAATACAATAACGAAGAACTTAAATAAGTTTTCCTTTGCTTTTTATCAAGGTGATGTGGCATGATTTTTCTTTAATATACTGTATACACAAAAAGTGCAATCCTTTGAACACGAAAATATTATCTGCCAATGTGCAACATCGTCTTCTGGGCTGAATCATGCACTCGTTCCGTAACCTCGCTGTTTTGCAGCCCTAAACAGACATCAAGGGCCTCACTCAGTCCGTTGAAGTGGAATTAATCCCCGTGACTTACTTTACACTGAAAACGCAACAAATATCTGACCCGAAACTAATTTTCGAAGTGCATTCAATTTAACCAGCGTATTGTACTCATTCAAGGATGCTTCGCTAGGCCGGTGTTAGGGACACAAACACTGCGTTCTAAAGCTCTGAATTGATACTCCTTCAGGGCTAGATATTAACAACAGTCAAGGCCGATATAGGTTGACTTCCTGTCGTGGACTCCTGTACTACTTTCGTCAATAGCATGGAAAAATAGAATTTGCTAGACAATGTACTAAATACTTTGTCGCCGACTCCATTGCTACTTTTGCCAATAGCATACAAAAATAATCTATTTGGCTGTGTACTAAATATTTTGATATAAATATCAACATCAGTCTTGAGCCATAATAGGAAACACCTACAACAACGTCTACAAATATTAAGGGTTTACGCCTACATTTTACGTAAGCTGTCTTGGTGTCTGTACTCTGGACCAAAAAAAAAGAAAAGAGTAGGCAGTGTGTGTGCAACGTTAGATAACTAATTCATCCAATACCATGACGTGCTTGTGTTCTAGAGTGGCGTTTTTGTATTATCCATCCGTACATGTAAAGATGTCTGGTTCGTCGACGCATTTTGCGCATCATTACGTAGACCTCAATCTCTCAGTAAGTCTTTAAAAATTGTCAAATTGACACCCATTGTTGAAAACTTATAATTCGAGAAGTTTCGCTGCCCTTCATAATAATGGAATACATTGCAATCGACACAATCACATCATGAAATCATTAAATTTTCTAATGTGTACTAACGCAAACGCTTTAAAAATAACTTGCTTTTTATCAAATGAGATTTATACTTGACATGCCTGCCTAAACATAGGCTACATTGCTCCGCCAGATGATCACATATGCGTAGATTGCAATAGTCAGGTTTTCTTTTTTCTCCTTGATAACAGAGAAATATATTCATACGAAATCTGATCTGACTAAAGGGATCTACCCCCGTTGAGGTACTAGACCGGGCTCAGTCGTCTGGTTCCTGGACAGCCTGTCGACGAAGTATGGTTGATAGACAAACAGAAGGACAAATCGATTTTTCGATAAAGTTTATCAAGTACTACAGAAATAGGTGACGATATTCGTTTTCTGTACTATCAATTTATTACAATGCCAACCAATACATGCCTCTACGAAATATTATCTGTCTCTTATACACATCTAGATGTGTATAAGAGACAGTATATATATATATATTAATAAACACGTTTGCAACGATTTGCATGTTATGAATAATGTACCGTAATTCTCACCAATTTATTGGATGTCATACATCGAAAATCTGAACTATATATCCAGGGGTTGATTTGATCATTGTTTAATTTGTTCATCACCAGAACCTTGGACTTATTTCCTTGCGTCCTTAAACCAAGGTCTAGGTCTACATGTACATCTCCCGGGGAAGGGGAGATTAACGAGAATGTATTCCAATTATCTCCCAGGCCTTGCCAGAACCTTGGCCTGTTTGTAGGCCTAATTAATAGCTACACGGGCCGACAAAAATGAAACTCGCGGGCCCGAACGCTGCAACACCAGGGGAACGTGTTGCTCCGTGTCTGGTTGACAGTTGTACATACAGGGTGACGAGACGCCGTATTTATCTTTGGTAACCTAGCTTTATGATGAATAGTGACACTCATACAGCTAGATAACCAAAGAGAAACGCAGCATCATAGCTAACAACCAAATTCGTTTGAAAATAGCTAACAACCAAACTCGTTTGAAAATATTTTCACTCGTTTATAATGTCATATATTTGTTTCTGCACAACCACGGCAACGCATGCCCATCAACCAAAAATATCGGTCCTTCCATAGCCACCAGAGTAAAATGTACGTAATATCTAGATAGACATGTAATACCGAACCGTATAATATATTGACGCATGAGCTTTTGTATACATATGATATCACCAATGGGAAATAAACATGCCTTCCGTTATCTCCTGGACAATGAGTCTGTTGATATATACCGTCGACCCCTCTTCATACTTTATCGGTTTCGATATATAAATAAAATTTCAATAATAATAATATCTAAATTCTCGCCCACTGTACAGCCCTGACATTCAACTCTCGGATTCGCCCGAAATAGATTGAACGGTAATTAATTGATATTGTTCGGTCAATATGCCTACTTACCAAGTGAAAACAATGACCGTACCAGTAAACGTTCACCTTGACCATGTGTGATGAGCGTTAAAAGATATAATATAGATATAATAAGTAGTATTTTTCCTTTACGACATCGGTATTGTTGATAAATCGCCGCACCCATTCTTTACCACGTGGCGTCGAGGGCCTGAAAGTTGCCTTAACCATGCAATATACCTCCATGCCTTTACTGAGCAAGCCCCTTAGCCTCAGGTTTTGCACACCTTCGCATTGTTGTTACGTCGAATATCTTTTTAATTCAAACTTATCTGCATGGTAATGAGTTCCTTTGATTCAAAAATTTAACATGTTCTTGATAAATGTCTTTCCATACTCGTATCATCCAAATCCATAGTCTACGCGCGAAAAATGTCCTCAAACGAACGAAATAAGCAGACGATATGAAGCTTCCTTTATCGCGCCTCCGCATCGTTTCTCCGTCTGATGCTTCTCATCTTGATCTGAAACTGAAGCAACAACACGATTCGCGGTTATCACTTATCCATTTGCTAATTCAAACGATTACAGTATGTTTTTGGTGGTTGGTCGCTTATACTTAGATTATTGTTTGATCGATTAATTAGAAAATTAAAATAATGTATTTGATCCTTTTAAATGAGCAATTCTTGCTCTAATTGAATGTTTACGTAGTTTTAAGCGTCGACTTGATCAGATCTAATTAGGCCTATTTAAATCTATGTATCCACATTGTGTTGCTAAATAGACAGGCACAGATAAACGATTTTAGGGATATTATCCTAGCTTATTACGCGTACTTTTATTTATATCAATATTTTAACCTTAATCACAACAATATACCATGACAAGATGAGTCGATAACCTCTATAATATCAATAACTCGACTCCCTGAGCGTTATTTATTGCGGGGACTAGAATTAAGAGAAATGCTGTGATTACATCCATGCTTCGTGGAATAAAATAACAGTGTGCAGGCAATTTTTTATATTATTATTGGAACTAAAATAATTGTATCTTAATAGCACAGTCTAAAAAAATGTTATCAGTAAATGACATCACTGATAGCGCCCTCATCGCTCCGAAAAAACTCATGTCACGTGTCCAGAACACAGCATTACTGTATTCCTCAATAATTTTAGTAGTCTTCAGTAGGCCTACAGCTACCGTACCACCTAAACGGGATTATTTCCGTAACACCTTAAACGGGATTATTTAGTTATTTTTAAGCAAATGTATTGTTGTAAAGACCTTCAATTTGAATTTATTATAGAAAACATCTATACAAAATCTCCGCGTTTTTCCAATGCTATTCCGTCAGATTTTAAGAATTAGAAAGCCTTTTGATGTGTTACATGAGACTAAACGACCGTTGCATAGCAACGAATCCAATGGTAATTATCGAGGTTCCATCGCTTGTTCATGTGACCAAAGATCGGGAACCACCTAACTATTAAGGCTAAAAAAACCAACAATAAATGGGATTTGTATGGCGCATAACAAGGTCTCTGTGTGCTTGGTTCTGTTTCAATGTCTGCATTAACATAATAACAACAATATACATACGTTGAATAAACATTGAATAAAAGAAAAGTAACGGACAAGATATTAGGAAAAGGCCATCATACCTCTATCATATTCCTTCTACAATCCCGTCTCTCTCTGGGATCTGGGACCACTCCCATTCTGCCTTAAATACCAACATTATCCAGATGAGTAGCATGATACAAGCCTTTTTCCGACGGTGTAAGTTACACCTGTGATATCGTAGTCGAACAAGCGCTTGTTTGAGACTTACACCGACCGTATGAACCGGGTCACAGTAATAAATGAAATGTAAGACAAACTTGATGGTTTTAGCAAAGCAAAACATTGAACAATATATATTTGTCCAAGTCCAATCTGTCCGACAAGCCACATACCTTTGAACATCATCAATTCAAAGCTGAGTGTTGCTAGTGTGCATTACACTTTACATCTTCTGTCAGTGTCAACCGGCTTTGCGGTTTGATAAACCATATCTTAAACCACAGAGATGCATGCTTACAAACTTCAATTCTTACCACAAATGGTGTTTTTTTTACTTACCATTCACGCGATGGCAAGTATGACAACACGTGAGTAACGTGCAGGCTATCAAATGCCATCCAACCGAAACACGAGGACTAGAAAGGGTGCGATGACCACAATCCGTATCCGCTTAGTGACCTTCCGATGATGTAATAGCCATAGTAGAATGACCGCATGCCGTAATAACTGTTTATATTCTTGTCCTCCTGGTGAGATATCCGAAGCGATGAGAAGGGTACGTCACCAATGAGAATCAAAACAAGTTAGGAAAAATAAATAAATAGGAAAAATATAAATATATATATACATATACATATATACATATACATATATATACACATACATATATGTACAGTATATATATAAATACACATATATATACATATATACATATATATATATATATATACATATATACATCATATACACATTATATGTATATATATATATATATATATATATATATATATATATATTTTATTCTTGGTTTATTTATTTATTTAAAACCATGTTTTGAGTGGGCAACCCTTACAGAATAAATCTGATGTTCAGGGGCCCACTAATATATATATATATATATATATATGTATGGTCTTACCTCTATATTTAAGCAAATTGATATTAATTAATATAAAATTAAAGAAAAATAAAAAGATTCAAAACTTCTTGTCACAACATCATTAAGGTCATTGATTATTAAAAAGTACAGTAAGCCTAATTCTTTCATTATAATTATCATTAAAACCAGGCTCCGGAACGGAATACATGTTGTACAGCACAACTGATTTTCTACAACACTATAAAAGGGTGGTTGACAAGAATTTGGAGAATGGTTAAAATGATACACATTTTTGAATATTTAAAATCTGAGGGAAAAAGGAGTCTGTACAACTCAGCCAATAACAAGATGGAAAACTAGGATGTTTTGTAATACTGTAGGCAAAGAAAGATGAAGGTGGAATCACAAATAATGTTATACTGTAGAGGCAAAGGGAAGAGGAACATGCCATGTTCACGACATGGAAGTTAATTCATTAAAGTATTAGTAACGGAGGCATGGTAAAGCCTACTACCAATCGGGGCTTACACCGTGCTACAGTAGCGGATTGGGTTACGAATGAAGCGAATGTTTCAACGTATGCATTTTATCAATTAGCGTGTTGCCCACTCGACATGTTGTAAATACACATTAAAACAGCGATCAATAATTATAATGGATATGTTTTTAACAACATATTGACAAACAAAGGCTCCCTTCACTTATAATAGTTTACGATAAACAGAATATCTGTTAAAGTTGCAGGTTAATAGGGCGCACCGTCTGACCATGGACTAAATGCTTTAAAACTTTACATATATTTCCCACTAATTTTACGTAGGTCCTTGTCCTTTTTATTTTGTAAACAATTAATATTTATATGTTAATTCTATCTTGAATTCTAAATTACTGGTTTTTATCGAGTTCTGAAAGTCACACTGTGTAGTTGCCTTGGTAACTGATAAACAATATAACGTCGGGCTGAGCAAATCATGATCCATCCTTCATTACATGTTTTAACCAAATTCATATACAATTCATAAATCCGAAATTAAAAAAAAAAGATTTAAAATACTAAAAAATAAGAATATTGCAGTACTGCGGCCTTCAAATAAAAATTCGTAAATCAAAGAGAGTGAATGGGTCTATAGTGTAGAAAAATTCATCACTCAAAACTCTCACGCTATACATAAATACGAAAAAAGTGATATGCTGTATGATGACAATACATAAACCTTCCAAAGAAAACGATATTTGTGAGTTGATATTTGAAAATTTGAAATTATATCCGGCTTCTTATTACTTTTATCGATTTTATCAGATATTATACACAACTCGATCAACGTTTGACGCAAAGGTTATATATTCCCACGAAGAATTAGGCCTATGTTTTAAAAACATCCATTGGAAACGTAAAATCCGAGATAAACGGGCAGCCAGAGAAATCACAGCATTATATAAAATTATCTACCGTAATGAGAAAAAGAAACCCTAAATTATGCATTAGCACGCCTAAGAATTATGACCGATAGTATTAAATAAGCGGCAGTCGAGAGAGAGAAAAGCAATACGGAACGAAATCAAGCAAATTTAATAATATTAACAATTATAATTACTGTACTTTAGTGAAGGATACTGTAATCGTAATCTAGTCCTGTGTAATACGTTAGGCCTATATAAATATATTATTCAATGCACCAACTAAAAATAGAGAAATTCTTATCAAGAAAATTTTGGCAACACCACCAAAACTGGGTTAAAAGTTTACCGTGTATGTATTCATATTTCGTCATTTGACACAGAGTATTTTATGAAGAGACTATGATAATTTAAAAAAAAAAAGAAATTTCTATTTCCACAATCAATGACCAGGATCATCTATTTCCAATTTTAACATTCTAAAAAACAACCCAAAATTAACCTTTTTACAAGTTCACGGAAGTATTATCGAAATGAGGGTTGTTTAGCCTTAATTTGACCCATGGAAATTGACCTGACCTGTGTTCCCTGTGGTTAAAAAAATGGCGACAAGGGAACATACAACCAGACTACAATATAAGGAATTTAGCCCACGGAAATATAGGCATTCCATGGCATTGACAAGAATTTAGGCTATATACCAAAAATGATACAGAAAAAATCCAAATTTAGAATAATGTTTTAATACATTATCGAGTGAATGATATCTTATCTGTTGACTAAGATTAACTTTTGGTACCCTGTAAGTAAACGTTCCACGCATTCAACTATTTGACATGAGTTAATGGTAAGTTTTAAACATACCGGTATCGTTTCACAAAAAAAGTTAAGGTTATAAATCGCTGAACTAAATTTCGGCTGCCAGTGGTATTATTTAATAGCTTTTTATATGCGTTGATTTTTTTGTTTTTTTTTTGGTTCTTTCTCTCACAATAGTATAGTAAGAGCAGTTGTTAATTTGAGACATGAGTGCTGATAAGAATATGTGTTTAATAATAATAAGTTATCCAGACCTCTTGTTATGATTACAACATTCTATGCGTAAAATCCGATGAAATGACAACTTTCGTTATCTCTGGTGTATCTATTCGCATCCATTGGACCACAGGTTTGCCTGACCTGACTGACAGATTTCAAGTTCTCAAGTTCAATGAATCATTTTTAATGTCAATTAAAGTTAATTTGATCTAGAATTTCGAGATAATCATTTTTGGAGGTCGAGGCGTTGAAGGCTAAGCTGGTTATGAAGATTTATTTACTCATAACAGGTCATCTATCCCTCACGGTATATTATAATAATAATAATAATAATATAATAATAATAATAATATAATAATAATAATAATAATAATAATAATAATAATAATAATAATAATAATAATAATAATAATAATAATAATAATAATAATAATAATAATAATATTATTATTAATAATAATAATAATACAATAATAATATTGAAAGTTGAGTTGACTAATAAGTGAGGAAGAAAATATTTTACACTGTACTTCCTTCATGATAATACTCGCTATAAATAGGTGGGTAGGCCGACTGCTTGGTGGAAGGAGTCCTTGTGGACGTCTCCTTTTCGTCTCGCTATTATCATGTACCGGAGCACTAGCTTTCCTCGTTTGCAATACAGCGTCATACGTATGTAATTTAACCCGCAAAATGTTAAAAATATCACTCAGACCAAGCCAGGTACATTTACGAGAAGTGATTTGTTTTGCATATAATAAGAAAACCACAGACCATATGAGGGCGAATTCCGACGGTGGGGGCTTGAGTAGATTTATGCCTTCCAGGGTTTTTGGTTTGACTCAGGCCTCGACAAATGCCACATTTTAAAATTAGACCAACACCCTAATTCTGAAGTGCAATGCACGTTTGCTCGCACCCTTCTTCCTATTATCTTTTCCTGAATATCTCGATATTCTCGTGTTTGATGTTCAATAATAATGTCCTTTAGAAACCTTCAATTTAAATGATGATTCAGCTTTATTTTGTGGGATGAGATTCGCTTTGGAAAGAGACGTACAGAAATAAAATAATTCTTATTCCCAGAAAATGCATCATAACATATCTGGCTTTATCTATTTTATATTATGCTACCGGTACTTAACGTATATAGGCTACTCTATAATACGGAGGTTTAAAATTCGAAGCAGCATTATTAATAGTAATAATAATCTACTGAACTTAATTCGTTACTTTTTAAAATTACATTCAATATTATTCAATTTTGACTGAAACTACTCATCAATGATCAATGCATATTCTAACAAATCCAAGTGTATTATTTCGCATCGTAGCCTATTTGTTGATAAATGGTGTATTTCAACACTTGCGTCTGTATACATGGTACTTGTAATACTTTATGCCAATAGGGAAATCTAAAAACAACAAGATCGCGTGTAAAACAAAAGTCCAAACATTCACAGAGCTCACTGACCCAAAAAGTATACGATAGGCCTAAGCCCGCGAAAAGTACAGTGAGGACTATCTAGCCTAAAAGGAGTACGGGAGGTCCAAAGTGGCTTCGAATTCTTTCATTCTTGCCTCCGATTAACTCGCATGAATACGTTCAATTCTTTTATTTGAGTTAAGTATTTGTGACCCTTAAAGCCTAAAGGGGAAAGTTAAGTTGTTCACCCAGGTTGTAGCAGCACAGAATACAACACATGGAATGAGAGCATTGTCCTACTGGACCATGCAAACTGGTTACAGGTTTAGGCTTAGCATATGCGAATGGAATGAATTAGGATACAGTACTGTGTAAAACAACAACGTCCATTTAAAATGAAGTGCATGAGTCCGTACTATCGGTACTGCTACTACAGTACTTCGTTCGTTTCACTCTAGTGATAAAAGTCGGTTAAATATTTACGCGATGAGAAAAACAGGCAATATTTTTAATCGGAAAAGTATTAAATTTACTGAAATACAATTCGAATATCATAACAGCACTTGCTAATGTTTCATGGTCCTTCTCTACAAGTAGTTACGTATTATAATGTGGATAAGAGCGGTAAGAGATCCCATTAGGATAGTCCATACAAGACTTTGTGTATATATAT